ACGATCCAAGGTGCACAGGCACGTAGCTGCACCTATCGGTACGTTTGCTATGCTCAACGCTCGCTTTTATCACGTTCACATCGATATTGTAGGCCCATTACCACCGTCACACGGGTATACTCATTTACTCACGTGTATTGATAGGTTCACTAGATGGCCGGAGGCTATTTCCATCTCTACTGTCACGGCCGAAGCAGTCGCTCGACATTTCGTAGAACGACGGATAGCGCTCTACGGCTGTGCCTCTACTGTCACGACTAACAGAGGAGCACAATTATTTTCTTCGCTAACGCAATTGCTGGATACGGAGCGCATCCGCACCATTGCTTGCCATCCAGCATCTAACGGTCTAGTCGAACGTTTTCACCGTCAATTTAAGGGTACCTTTTGGGCACACGAGAACCTTAATTGGTACGAGACGTTATCTCTTGTTCTGTTAGGTATCAAAACATGCGTAAAGGCAGATATCCAGTGTACAGCTGCTGATCTGGTGCTTGGCACTACATTACGACTGCCTGGTGAATTCTTCATGCCACGCATCATGGATTCCATTGGAATACAGGACTACATGCAACGTTTGTCTACGTTTATGCAATCCTTGTCTCCGGCACAAACTCGAATACAGCAACGGAAAGTGTTCATACCCACTGACCTGTTCGCACGTATTCATTCGAATTGATGCGGTACGTAAACCGTTACAACAGCCTTACGAAGGATCTTTTCGAGTTCTTTCGCGTCACGAAAAGTTCTTCAAGGTCGACATGGTCGCGTCGATACGAATAACATCGAACGGCTCAAGGCAGTATATGTGGACGATGGTATAGTGCACGCCAGTTCGAGACCCGATGTTATACCTGCACGGCCGATGATTGAGGCACCTACCTCAGAGTTGAGCTCGCAGATCGCAGTACCTGCAACGATTTCGAATGAGGCAACTGTCTCACGTTCAAATCAGCAGTGTACGAACATCGTATCAGATCAGGACGAGACATCAATCTCACGTTCAGGTCGAAGGATTGTTTTGCCAGCCCGTCTACGGGATTGAGCAAAACACGATCCACACAAGCGTATAACGTGAGCAATACCTGTTACGACTTATATCACGAGATGCCTTATCTCGATATTTGTTTTGTATGCTCAACGATTGGTTATGAATGATGCAGCAATTTTGAACGTAAGGATGCTACAGCGGTTTTTTCCGACAATCTTTCACTTCCAGAGATCAGGTCATTGGTTGCCTCGAGGTTCAACGAGAATTTTGGCACCTTCTCGCACGATCGTGGCCCCTTTGGATCTCAAGAGTTTCTTGAAGAAGATTTACGTTTCTACGGTTGCATACATTCTAGCACGCCAACGATCGCTGACGATGAAAACGACGAGAACCACCTGATACCATGATACCACTAACGATTTTGATGTTGTGAATCATCCAATGACCGATTGAGGTAACGTCACTATGGTTCCCATGCTAACATCCGATACAACGAATCTGGTTGATGTTCGACCGACGCAAAACAGTCTACACACACCAACGATTCTGCCAGTCCATGTCATGCAGCACAGCCACACGCTAACGATTGCCTGCTCTTCAACTTCGGTTCCTAAATCGAAAGCTTTTGCTTGCTTTCTAGCGGGGGGTTGCTGTAGTGACCATGATTGTACGAAGAAAAGAAGCAATCCACGAGGAAGTTTTGCGTTCATATTTTTTCACAATCAACTGTGACTCCAACTGTGATACTTCCTTGTTTCACTTCTGTTTGTTTTACCGAGCACGGTTTTCCGTTTAGGCGTAGATATAAGCTGGGTCCTGTTCAAACCCACGCTACACGTGTGACACGCTTTCGCTCTGCTACTGCATTTATTGTTTGCATTGTTTAGCGTCGCCTTGGTACGTTTCGGTACTATCTAGTACCACGATACGCCAATAAACGTCTACGACTCGCACGAGTGTTTTTGTCTACCTCGGGCAACGAGACATTAGGAGGTCGCACGTAAATTGAGACTCGTAAGAAGACTTATCGGCAGGCCGTCAAATTTGGTTAGCTTCACTGCAACGTAAATCATCTCTTGTTGTGTCCCACTGCACGCCCAAAGCTCTCTGCCAACTGGAGTCAAATTGATGCAGGTTGGTACTTGTGCTGTCTTCCGAGAGGGATTCTGCAATTTCCTTTGAATTAGATGACCACCTTCTCAGTTTAAAACCATCTTTTCCCGATAGTTCGTTTATTTCCTTCGTAAAGCTTAAGGTTTCATCACATGTCGTGAACGATGCAAGACAATCATCAACGTAGTTTTTTTCTATGGCTTTTAACTTCGCACGCCCATAACCACTACCGAATTCTCTTGCAGCCCTGTTCAAGGCAAAATTAGCACAAAACGGTGAAGAATTTGCATCAAACGGGTGAGCTGTCATTTGATATTCCTCGCGATCCTTAAGTGGGTCACACTTTGGCCACCAGAGAAATCTCAAAGCGCCTCTATCATGTTTTGGCACCTTCACTTGCATAAACATCTCTTCTGCGTCAACCGTAACAGCTACACGTTCTTTTCGGAATCGCAAAATTATACCCACCACCATGTCTGGACCTTGAAAGAGCATGTTATTAAACGATTGTCCCTTGTGTTTTGCAGCACAATCAAAAACTATACGCAGCTTTTCCGGATATTTTGGGTTTAGTACTGCATTATGAGGCATGTACCAATGCGGATGAAAGTCGCATTGTAACTGTTCCCCTGGGACTGGCACGGCATATCCCTTCTGGATAGTCATCTTCATCGTTTGTGCGTCATTAATTAAGCGCCGCTTCAAGCTGTTCAACGTTGGAAGCGCTGAAGCGTGGTTTCACATGTCGATACTGACACACTTCTTCCACGGCAGAGGGACCACGAAGTGCCCAACGACGAACGTTGTACCGGACTCTACAATAGCCATGGTCTCCGTATAGCCTATGGAAATGCTTTGGTCTAATAGCTGGGTGTCTGCGAATTCTGCATTGTACATTCATATTACTTGACGCATTAAATTTGAGTCTTTTGCTGCCAAGCAGTTGACCGATTTCATTTCATACGAAGCGAAACTTGAAGGTCCAAAAATCACCCAACCTAATAGCGTCCGAACTACATAAGGCTTCTTTTGACCACCGAGCCTTCGGTCGAGTACCCAATGAGCCTCCGGTATATCACACCCAATTAATAGTAGAACTTCTCCATCAAAGTTTTCCATCGCAGGTCTGCCAA